ATCGGACTCTAATGGGGAAAAAAATACCTAAAGAGGTCCAGAACACAAAACTAGAAATACTTGCCAATTGTCTTTGAAGGCCAGGAAAGAAAGAAAGAAGAAGAAGAAGAAAAAAGGGCTCCAATCAATCCCCTCCCCCTGCAGGCAGCTCCTGCCCAGCTATAGGCTCTGCTTACTTTTTAAATCCACCCGCCCAAATTACAGGGGCGCCATGGATCGTGCCTTTAAATATATATATATTTTAAAAACCACCACCGCCAGTACAATCTTAAATACTGTTCTGGGTGAATTTTTTTTTAAAAAAAGGCTGCAAAAAACAAAAAAACAAAAGCGAAGCAACAGGTTCTGCTTTCTTTCGCCTGCCCTAAAAGTTTTTGCAAAACTCAAAAGACTCTCATCCGGTGGGTTCAAACGTCTGTGCTGAGAAGCAAGGGGATCTGCGGACACACCTGCCTTGTTGGACCGGATCCTTCCCAACCCCCGGGGGGGGGGCAGCAGCAGGGGAGGGCAGGATTGGGGATTCTGCACTAGATCCCTTTCCACCTCGGTCGTATTTCATGTCTCGGGAGGTTCTCGGGACACTCCGTCCTTTCTAGACCACTGACAGCACACGGGGCTGTGTTGTAAGAGTTTCATGATCCCCTGCTGTATTAAGGGGTGGGTCACTGGGTCAACCGTTGCAGGATGAGCCCCCACCGAGTTCAGAGGAGTTTGCCTCTAAGGAAGGATGCGATATGAAAAAAAAAAACACTCTGAACCAAGTTGGAGCCGCAATACTTACTCAGAAGGAAGTGGCACGGAGTTCCACAGGACTTGGTTATGAACTCCTTAGAGTGGCAAAAATGATTTTTTTGATTTAGATTTCCCCTCTCCCACCCACGCTGCGGGTTGAACCGCAGAAGCCTCTGGGCTGCAAGGTCAGCAAGACCAGCTGTGGCAGGATCGAATCCAGGCGAGGGAGGGAACCCCCTGCCAACCTAGCCGTTGGAAAGCAGGTAAAAATGCGAGTAGATAAATAGGGACCACCTCGGTGGGAAGGGCCTTCCGTGTTTAGTGGCGCTAGTCACGGAAACTGTCTTCAGACGATCACGGGCTCTAGGGCTTAGAGGGGGGGGATGAGCACCGCGCCTTAAGAGTCGGACGCGACTGGACTCAATGTCAATGTACCTTTACCTGCCACCAATCCCTGGAGTACCTGTCCAGCCTTCTCTAAACTGCCGTGGACAACAACTCCCATAACCCACAGGCAGAGACACTAACCAGACACTGGCCCGCCTTGGGGGTAAACCTGGTCTCTTGGACCCCTTTGCTCGACGTATGGAAAAGCCTACGCCTTGTTAACCCGCTAGGCACGGAGGGGCTCGCGCTACACGCAACCTCGCATGTTGACCAGGTTCAGACGAACAGCGTGTCCAAAAATCAAGTTTCCCTAGAGGCTTCAGATCAAGAGGTCGACCGATGGGCACTCACCGCCAGCTTTCATCCCTGCCGATGGATCCCCCGCGAGCTCTTGCCTCCTGGGAGCCCAAAACAGCCTCGGCGGCGCCAAGCCGCTAGTTCGTAGTAAGCGCCGAAAAGGCCGGTGGGCGGGGCACCCCGTTAACCCCGCCCTCCCCCGTTCCTGAGGCCCATTCAGAGAAAAGCGCTCCACCCGCGTCTTCCCTTTTAGACTAAAGCCACGCCTCCACTCGGGAACGCTCCAACCAATCACCGCTTGCCCGGACCTATACCACG